GCCCGGGTGCGCCGAGGCCTGGCGCTGCCCAGGGGCCGTCGGCGGGGCCCGGCGCCCTCCGGGGCTCAGGCCGGGCGCGGGAAGGGGTGGCCGAGCCGGGTGGCTTCGGAGACTCGCGGGCGGGAGCGGGAGGGGAGGGAGAGGGAGGAGCGCCGGGAGGAGGGGGAGGAGGAGGCGGCGGCAGCCCGCGGCCCGCGCCCGCCGCGCCTTTGTAGCGCTGCCCCTTACATATGGAAATGACGCGCGCGCGGGTCCCCAAGCGCGTCCTTTTGAAGGACGCCCTCCCGGAACCGCGGCGCCGGCTGCAGGCAGTCGCCGAGCGCCCCGAGTCCTAACAAAGCGCCCTGCTTGGCTTTGCAGAGCGCGGGAGGAGGCGGCCGGCTGTGCGGGCGCTGCGGAGAGGCCGACGGAAGGTAGGCGGGGTGGGGGCGGCGTCCCCGCCGCACCCCTCCACCCCGGTGGCTCGGGCGGGCGGCGTGGAGCTGGAAGATGCTGCCGTGTGTCGGTCTGCGAAGGGACCTGAGCCCCGGAGCGGGCCGGAGGGGCGGCCGTCCCGTGGGTCTGTGCCCCGGGGTGGAGGCTGAAGAGACCTGCGTGGGCGCCCGGAGGGTCGGTCAGCTTAGGCTGCCAGCGCAGAGCTGTTGGGAGCCTTTAAAGTGGAGACGGTAGAAGGTGTGTGGGGTCCAAGCAGGTTCAGCTTCCCAGCGCGGCCGTGGGGAGGGCACAACGCGGTGACCGTCGGGGGCATTGCCCTAAAGCTCTGGTGGCTGAAGGAGCTAGGGGAAGAGTAGAGAACGGAAGTAGGACCCTCCGGGGACGCTGAGGCTTGCAAGGACAAAACTGATGGAGGAAGTCACCGCATAAAGCTTCTGGGTAAAACTGGAGGAGAGGAAGGGATAATTCTCTTGGACGCAGCCTGACAAAGCAGGTTTGAGGTGCAAATCCAGTGGGAGCTGCAAATGTCACACCGCGTTTCTAAACAGTTTAGTTAGCATGACATCTTCAGCTCTCTCCAGTTAACTGGGACAGATCTCCCTCCTGATGTTGAGGGATTACTGAGACAGCCTGGCAGTGCGACTCGATCTCTGAGCTCCTGAAATCCAACCAGACTGCCTCCTTAGCTTTGGTGACTGACACCGTAGCTTTTGAAGATGTTCTTGTGAAAGTCCAGCAGGGCCCACGAACTAGACCCCTGGGCCGGGGAAGATTTCCTCTCTGGGTTTCCTTAGATATGTGGACATAAATGTGTCTTTTCTTATGTTCTCCGGACTTGACGATCTGCAAGAAACTTTATTTATTTCCAGTCAGTATTGCTTTATCTTGGGTCTTCTCTAGTAGCAAGTGTATTATATTGGCGGCTGAGCCGGAAGAGGGGTAAATCTTGGTGTGGAATTGAAGGTAGCTGTGAAATTCCCAGCGTGTGCATAGAAATGACATAACCAGGTGGCTGAGAAATGAGTTTGTGTGGTGACTTCCACTGTGGTACTTCAGAAGGTGATTGTGAACTTCTGAGGGGCTTTGTTTCTTTTCACCTGTTCTGTGGTCTTTCTTCAGAAGCAAGCATTCCGAGCTACTGTGTAACAAAGCAAATGGGTTAGAGAACTAAGCAACGAGAGGAGGGCTGTACTGAGGCTGGGAGAGGAAGCCACCGCCAGCAAGGTCTTTGCAGGAAAATGTCAAGGATCAGTCATTTTAATAGACACTTGCTCAGAATGGCCTGGGCTTCTCTGTTTTTGTTCTTGTTTTCATTTTAGATATGTAATGACCCTTAACACCAGTTCATGTAGGGAGACCAGGGCTCCAATGAATTCTGAACAGCTGGTCGTCATTTAATAAGCAGTGTTCTTATCATGAGTCAAATGTTGTTCAAATAAATTGTTTTAAATGTCACTGCAAATGACTTTCTAAACTAACATTTTGCCAGTCTTGAGGCTTCTTCCATTTTACATTGATAATGAAAATGCATTTTGACGGCCTTACCTTGATAGAGTCTTGGCAAGTTTAGCCACAACCCAGAGCCTTGTCAGGAGGCTTACTTTTCTAGATGTCAGTTCTTTTGCAAGCCAATAAGTATTTTGGTTTGAATTCTGGCTATTTATCTTGTATCTCTTGAGTAGGTGCTTGTGGAGAGCTGACTGAATTTTGCAAAAAGATGTTTTCCTATTTGCAAATAAAATGAATTTTTTAAAAGCTAATAGTATGATGGAAGTGAGCAACTTTGTTTAAAATTAGTTTGTATCTTTATTGCCATTTGTGCCAGCAGTGAGACAGTCCCTCAAGCTCGTGCTTGGAAACGATGACAGAGCATCTGTACCTAACTTAAAACACAAAACTGGGAGAACGGCATTTATAAATGTAAGAATAGAAACTCTTGTGCCCCAGGGAACTGTAGTTGTAGCTTCAGCCATCCTATATTTATTTGAGTAAATACGGCTTAAGAAGTGAGTTGTAGCAAGCTTTCTCTTTTTAGAAAAACGACAAAACAGCTTTATTTTCTGCTCCCCTAATTTTACTTAGTAGTTGATTATAGGTTATTGAATCCACATTGTGCTAAGCTAATTTTTCCCCCTCCAGTATTAACTAACCACTTGATTGGGTAATCCACCTGCCGTTGGTTTAACAAAAGCCTAGGTTTGCTACAACCTTCAGGAGAGTCAAAGAGTAACACCTGGTTAAGTTTTAGAGCTGATGCTAGTAGGATACTTCTGCTTCATTCAAAGTTTATGGTATGGTTAGCGAAGGTTATTTTCTTTCAAATTTACTTAAATGGGACTTTTTCCTGTGCAGTGACATTTAAGCTTTTGTATAATATTTTTGTGCTGCAGTTTTATCCATGGTGATGCTGCTTTAGTTTTGGGATCCAGCCAAAAATAAGGTGCTGTTTGAGCAGAGAGAAAACAGACAGTCATCAGCTTGCTGGGAAGCAGGAGTTTTTGGCAGAAGTGCTCTTCTGTACAAACACACAGATGGGGCAGTTGCTTTTTCTATTGAGCTTTTGCTAAACTTGAACATATTCTCATGACTATTTTCCTTTTTACTGAAATTAATCCAAGATGGTAAACCTGGGAATCTTTGCAGCAGATCAAAGACTGCAGGAGAGAGAGAGAGAGAGAGAGAGAGAGAGAGAGAGAGAAGAAAAGGAAACATTATCATCTGCACGAGCATTAGTCTCCAAATTGGCTAGAGGGAAAACTAGGGGCAAACATGAAAGGCCTCACCAAGAGCATTTGTCTGTGTTCATCATTTCTGTCCCAAAGTAAATTAGTCACTTAGTGGTCATCGCCTGGTCTGTGGACCCCCAACTGCTCCATTGGAGTGCAGGTTCCAGAGCATCTATTGTGAGCCTGGAAAGGCAAGAGGCTGAGCTGAGAGGGGCTCGGGCATTCTGCAGAGCTGTTCAGCTGCTGGACCATCTGGAGGGAAAATAAAAGGCCTGGGCTAGGGACTCTGGCGTTGTGCTTATTTATTTATTATTTGCTTTTCACTCGCCAGACTCTGTCCCCTTTTGCTCTGTCCATTCCAGCTCGTTGGCTGGAGCACCATTCCTATGGGCTTTCTATATGCTGGATGCTGGCAGATTTGTAAGTTCACCAAGGCCCTTCCTGCCAGCCTTAGGCTGGGGATGTCATTATTCCAGCCACACCTCCACCTAGTTCCTTGGCAGCCCTGGCTGGCTCTGCGATGCCATCATCTGGGGTTTCTGAGGGGCGTATAGCCACACAGATCTGCAGTGGACATTCCTGTCCGAGTGCAGCATTTTGGCAGCCTTGTTTTGAGCTATTTGGAAGGAAGATGCTCCGAATAATTGCCCTTCTGGGTGGCTGTTGGGGGGTAAATGTTTTGATTAATGGCTCTGTGCATCTGCCTCTTACTCTGACTCGCCCCAATCAGAATGCCAAAATACCGCCCACCCTGGTCCCTTTATTCCAGAGGAGTCATAAAGGCTTCTCACCATATGATTGGGCAGGTCATTGGTGAGGAAAAGCTTTCCTCGCCAGGTTTATGGTAGTCTTCATAAAATGAAATTGTTCTTTGCAATCGGAGGATTTATTGTTCAGAAGCAAACTTTCAAAATCTCCAAGTAAGATTCCAGACCCCGATGGGCATCAGTTAGCTGTTGACCCAGCAAGGCGTTAGATTGTCTACATCAGACATAATTAAGTATTTCTCTGGGGGAAGCAATTTAACAGTTATCAATTCCTGAGCTGTGTCCATTGTTGAAAATATGGGGTTCTTCATGATAATTTTGTATAAAAACTTACTTCTTCCTGGCCCTAACTCCCAAAGTTACTTTAGAAAAAGGCGATGTTTATTTTGTCTGTTTCTTTCAGTTTTTGTATGCTATCATCATTAAATGGGACAAGGGGAAGTGTTTTCCCCATTCTAGGTTGAAAAAGTGTGTGACCATGGAGTGGTCCCAGGTCGCTTCTGGGACTCAGTACTGTTCACTGGCTGACACATCATTTCCAGGGTCTCCAGTGTTCCATGCACACTGAGGGACAGTGAAATTTAAAGCCACATAGAGTTTAATTCTTGGCTCCAGTTCATATTAATGCTGTATCCTCAGACAAGTTGCCTAAGTTTCCCAAGCCCCAGTTTTTACACCTTAAATAGGGAAAGGATACTGTCTACTTCAAAGAATTGGGAAGATCCATATGTATAAGCCAGACTCTTAGCAAATAAGTAAATTTCCTCTGAATTCCTAACTACATTTCAGCCTTTCTGTTTTTAACATTAATGTATATCGGCAATCTGCCTTGGAGGCTCGAGGAAGGGCTGACCCTTACCTGCAGCCCTTATCTTGTAGTAATAGTGATGTTTAGGGACATTGTACTGTCATCGCCTGAGCTTGCTTCTGTTCTAGGCACTTACCCCTCCCACTCTGCTCAGTAAAGGTAGATTTATGGCTGATTGACTTGAAGTTACTTTTTGTGAGTTTAAGCCTCCTTTGTAAGCCTCGGGCATTTTCCTGGTTGTTTTTCAATTCTCCTGTTGCATCAACTTACTCTGCAATGGGTCACTGTATGCTTGGCCATGCTGAACCTCCAGAACAGTCTTTCCAGATGAGTACAGTATTGTTATTCTCATAACTGAGAGGCCCTGCCAGGGTGCTTTAGCAGATGCTCCTCCACGGTTCCATCCCAGAGCAGCAACAGCATCCACAAATGTAGCTGTAGTTTGTGAGTCCTTTGGCTTCATCACTGACCTGTTGAATTAAGCTTCTGATGATTCTGTAGCCTGGAGTTTGGTGGTCCGTGTTGGTCCTGTCTTTGGATAGGGTATATCTAAGACTGTAAAAGCCCTGAAAATGCATAAGAAAGGAAAAATGAATGTGTGCTTGTGGAAGAAATAGGTACTTGAGAAATTTTTACATGTTCATTTCTATACATCCCACTTAGCAAAGGTTTTCTCTCAAGGAGTAGCCTTACAGTAAGCAGTCCATGGTGTTTACTGAGCCCTTGGTGTACTATATTTTGCAGTTGATATTAAGGAAATAGGTGTAGGCCTTATCCTTTGAGAAATTTCTGCAAAGTGGAGAGAAAATTCTTGCACATGAAATGACTGGTGAACATTTGGAGAACATTATCAACCAGCAAAACTGCTTTCCTTGCCAGATGAGCACTGACAACTTGTCACCACGCATAACGTCTTCTGGATGTTTCAGCGAGAGCATTTGTCCTGGGGGTGGGACTCCCCCACCCTTCAGTCAGAAGAATGTCTTCTTAAGCATAGTGTCTTGGGAAGGAGGAGATGAAAGAGAGAGGTAAGAGGGAAAGACTGCTATGGAAGAAATTTGTTTGCAGGAAATCCAGTGTCCTGCCCAAAGCAAGGCACGATAGCTCATCGAATTCAGAGCCGCAGATAAGATCAGAACTTCTTAGCACAATTATGAATTTTGTTGCTCTCTTTCATTAGATGGACAAACTGCCTCCCCTTAGAATAATTCTGAAAGAGGGAAGTGTTAGGACTGTTTTGCTTTTGAATATGCATAATCAAAGGTACAATACTTTTGAGTTTTCTCATGTTGATCAGATTACAGCCCAGGGGGCCAAAAAAACTGTGAGCATCTGGGATTTTCAGCAGAACTGAGGTGACAATTAGCTGGCATTGACTTTGTCTGAATTGCTTGCTACCTCTTGTGGCTCTGCACAGCACTCTGGTATTTCTTTTCTGACACTCTGATGTTTACTTAGCACTCTCCGTTATTTGGAAAACATTTACATAATGATTAGTTAACCCACCAGACCAACCCTGGGAAGGCAGCCAGGGCTCCCAGCACCTTAGCAATGGCAGACTGCTAATAAGAGACCTCCCCAAGCCCCAGATCTTGGACCCAAACTGTGCCATGTCGCCTTCATGAGTGGCCCCTGTGAATAGTGGGCATGTGGCAGAGCTGTTCAGACTCATCTTCTGAACGTGCACCTCATTTTGCTAAGGTCATGGCTCCATTCTGGCTTGTCACGTTTTGTGACCAGTCAACACAAAAAGGAAGCAAACAGCCTAGAGCAGTGGTGGTGAACCACGTAAAGCATCCCTTCGCGTGTGTGCTCTAGGGCTGCCACCACTGGCCTAGAGCCATACTATGGATAGACGATGGAAGGCGCTCTCACCTTCAGCTCTGGCTGTGTTCAGCATCTTAACCTGTTGCCCACGTAGTAATGATCTGCGCTCTGGAACGCCACGTACTTCAGGGAGTTTCTGACCAGAGCTTGGTTTAGAAAAAAAGGCTGTTTCCATTGGTGGGGGTCATGACTATTGGGAATTGAACCCAGGGCCTTGTACAGGCTAAGCATGCGCACTACCTCACAGCTGCCCCCTTGCTCCTAGCTAAAGGTGCTGCTTCGCCTGGGCTGGGGCTGGCTGAGAGCGTTGTCGCTGACAGCTGAGGTCACTGTCTCCAGGGGGTTGTATCGTGTTTAGCATCCATTGCATCATGGCCTGGTTTCTTCCAGATGTGAGGTTTCAAGCCTGCCTTGGAAGATCTACCACATGAGAAATCAGTTGTCGCTCACGGAAAGAAGCATTTTAAAGTGTGAAGTTCCTGGAATTTTATCTGTATTTTTAGTACAAATTGACTCAGAGTTACCGAGCACTCCAGGTTTTTACCCATCCTAAGGAGAGTGGTGAAATAGCCCAGGGTTGGGATGGGACAGGGAGAGAAAGATGGGCAGCCAGGGGGGAAGAGTGAGGTGGGGGAGATGGGGGAGGCACCCCAGGGTGTGGATGAGGCATGCACACCTTCATGCAAGGCAGCCGTGCCTCCTTTGCACTTTCTGTTGGAAAGGTTGGAGTGCTGTTTTCCCTTCTCCCTAGGCAACTAAGCCTTACCGCAGGCTCCTTGGGACTCGTGGGGCTTCAGGGACTGCTCTTCCTGTCACACCTCGTGTAATTGCACCAGCGAGTTAATTGACTCGCTTTGGGAAGAGCCCATGTAAAAGGCATCAGGTCTCCTGTAAACAGAGGTGCTTTTGTAGCACGTGTGTTCAGCTAGGGGCTCTCTGCAGCCCTCCCCTGTAACTACCCCAGGGGCATCCAGGCTCAACAGAGTGAAACTAATCCATTGCCCGACTGCAGCATCTGGGCTGGTGTTGGGAGCTTGCTGACTTGGGAGGAGGCCCTGGCCTTGGAGTCGTGGAGTCGGCTGGAGCTACCAGTTTGTTCACTTGACCTCATTGCCACAAGTGGCCTGTCACCTTGGGAAAGTGCTGGCAAGATAAACAGAGAGAAAGCAGCTCTTAGGCTTGAACTTGCAGACTAGCTGTCTACCCGATGCCCAGGAAGGAGAGGACAGGAAGGGGTCCTTTGCCTGTGTGATCCCCATTTTCTGGTAATGATCTGCCCTTGTGGATGTTCCTCTGCTATGAGTGTGTGTGGCCACAGCGGGGTCCTGGAGAGACCCATGGAGGGGCTGTGTGGTGTCCTAGAAATAGAGTGCTATAAATTCAGAGGGTGCTCAACTGGCCCGGGAGGTAAATGGGCCCAGGGTGATCACCCCAACCTGTCCTTGTCTCTGTCCTGCACAGGTGAACGCTGTGGGCTATGGGATGGATGAGGTGGAGCAGGACCAGCATGAGGCCCGACTCAAGGAGCTGTTTGACAGTTTTGACACCACAGGCACCGGGTCCTTGGGACAGGAGGAGCTCACCGACCTTTGCCACATGCTGAGCTTGGAGGAGGTGGCTCCGGTGCTGCAGCAGACGTTGCTTCAGGACAATCTCCTGGGCAGGGTAAGGTCTAGGGGAGTGGGTGTGGTGTTGGGGTGGTGGAAGTGGCGCAAGGAAAACCACGGACGTGGCAACCTGACCGTTAACCTGGGAAGGAAGAAGAATGTAATGGGTGAGGCACAACAGCATTGTTGCTCGGGAGACGGGCCTGCGTTGGTCTGTGACCTGGAGCTGAGCTGTGTGTGGAGTATCCTCAGTGTTTGATGGGATGTTTCCCAACAGATTCTTGTGGAGCTGAGCCTTAGCTCCGCCTTCAGCACTGGGACAGAAAGGAGGGGGCGAGATTTCAATGGCAGAGAAGGGAAATGAAGCTAACTGCCCTGCACAGGGAGAAGGGATTTCTGTTACAATTTTTATTCATAATAAAACTACTCCTTGTGTGGATTGTTTCTGGATGAAGTATTAATTAAGGCTTCCACCCAGGAAATACAACAGAAGAGTAAGTAACGACAGCACTGCTTCATTTAAAACCCAGCACGACTGGCTTCCAGCAGGGATGGGTGTGCGTGCCAGTGTTAGCGCGCATATTGGACAACACATAGCCGCGTTTTCCCTGGAGATCAAGTCACAGACTTGTGCAGGAGGTGACAAGGGGCCTTTTCTCCCCCTTTGCTGATGGTGGGATGGACATTTGATCTCTCACAACTCCGGACTGCCTTTTGCTCTCCTGGCAATCAGCGGCATAGTTTCTATGCCCTTAAGTAGACTCGTTTGCTGTTGGTCTTTGAGATGGCCAAGAAAATAAAATGAAAGAGGCAGTACTTTTTGAGCTCTGTTGCTAATGTTGCCAGTGTTTTTGCACACAGTGGTTTATATCCTGTGGTGTAAATTCAGGAAGAAATTGTGCAACTTAGTTTTAGTCTAGTGGCTGAACTTCCTTTCTTTGTTTCACTGTCAGCCTTTGGGCTGGTGAGAGGGTGTAGGTGACTTGCAACACATGACAATGTATTGGCTCTCTGTAACCCAGGAGACAGGAATAGCACGCACCTCGCAATTAATACACAAAAGACAATATCCTCAGGGGCTTGGCGCCGTGAATGTGATGCTGAAGAAAGCGCACATTTAAAAGAATTGTGAGTTGTTTTGCAAAACCTGGAGTCATTCCTGGTCACTTTGGGGGGCATTGATTAGCTGCCTAGTAGTCCCTAGAAATTGATATAAATCTTACTTTGAAAGCAGCAAAAATGGAAACTTTAAATACTGAGCCATTTGGTCCTCATTTTATATAGCGCCCTCAAATGATTTGGAGCTCTGCCTTGATTTAGACGCGCTAGGGAGTGGAAGAGCGGGTCAGCCAGCGTGCTCCTTGGGTGTCCCAGGTCTTTCTGTGTCTGAGGATTAGCCTCAAAGGGCAGATGTGTTCTAATGCTCAGGCAAGCCTGAGAAGACGGAATATGATTGACAGTGTCCCTCAGAGGGCTCCTTGGAGTCCGAGTCAGCGGTGTAAACACTGGATCCTCCGCTGAAAACAGATCGCACCTTGGCAGCTTGCTTCCCAGATGTTGCGCATCTTTGCCCTCATTTGGAAAACTCAGACTGGGGAATGGTTATCGATTGATTTGTTAATGACTTGAGCGCACCAGCCTGCCTTTTCCGTTTGCTATTTTCCTGAATAATGAATACCTAAGTGGTCTATCGTGTGATATTTACTTAGTGAGCCGGTGATAAAAGTTAAATAGATGTGTGCATATTGATTTCATGTGGGAGGCCCCCAGCAATTGTCTGGAGAACAGGGTTGGCACGAAATGAATGCAGGACGGTGAGATTTGCATTTTTTATGAAACTGAATTATTCTCCTCAGCTGATCCCATACACTTGGCCGTATGCTGTTAAGATATTCTGTACAGTCTGTAGTTGTAAATTAGAAAGAAAAATCCTTAGAATCCTAGAGCAGTCTGAGTGCAGTCACTTTTGTGGTATATTAAATAATAGTCATGAATTGTAAAGTTAAAAGATTTTTTAGAAAACGTAATTTTTACGTGACACAGTAATTATACATATTCGTAGTGTGTAGCGTGGGATTTCAGTACAGACGCATGTATGCCGCACACCATGATCAGGGCTGGTAACTGTGTCACACACAACTGAGCTCTCAAAATCCTCTCTCAACTATTTTGAAATACTCAGTTAGTTGTTGTCAACCTTAGTTATCTTGTAAGTTGTTTTTAATGCCTGTCATCTTCTCTTTAGAAGGCATGGACTTACAAGAGTTAGCAGGTTGGTTTAATAAAAAGCAGAAAAAGTAGTATCCAAATCTGAACACATTCACGCATTCATTCAACACGTGTATGTACACACTGTGTGTGTGAGCAGGTTGTGAGTCCTTCCACTAGTATAATGTCAGTACAACATACTTACGTTTGCTATAAACTATAATTTTCCAGTGATTTATATTTGAATGTGTTAGGATCCCCATCAACTTCCTGTATACTTTCTTTTTTTTGAGACAGGTTCCTAGTATGTAGCTCAGGCTGGCTTTGAACTCACTATGTAGCCCAGGCTGGTCTTGAACTCATAGCGATCCTTCTGCCTCAGCCTCCTGAGTGCTGGGATGTTACGTGTGCATCACCACATCTGGCTTAATTTTATTTTAAAATCTTAATAAATATAATTTTTTAAGGTACGGGGAGCTGAACCCAGGGCCTTTGCACTGAACTACATCCCCAGCCTCATTTTTGTTTGCTTTTTAAGTCACTAAGCTACCTTAGTTGGGTTGCCAACAATAATGAAATTATAGGGGTGTCACCACTCCTGGATGCCTAAGATTTATCAGTTGGGAAAACAATTCATCCCAGCACTTGAGAAGCTGAGGCAGGATGATTCCTGTGAGTTCAAGGCCAGCCAGGACTACAAAGTGATTTCAAGCTCAGCCTGAACTGAATAGTAAAACCTTGTCTCAAAAAGACAAAATTGTTTGCCAGTTTCATGCATTTACTACTCAGCAGTTTTTCCATGAGTTCATCAGTCTTGCTTTGCAACTTGGGTCCATATTCTTCTGAGCAAAGTTACTACATAAGTAGTAACAAGTGTTTGAAATGCCTCAGACTTGTAACTCTCAGATATGAAGGAACAGGGACAGAACTGATGTGTGTTTCCATTAGATTATCCCAAGAGCTTCATCTGGGCCTTTGTCATCAGGGAAGCACCTGTAAGGTGAGTGGTCCCCCCTCCACCCCAACACAAGGTGCTCTTCAAGACACTGAAGAGCTCATAGTGTGGGTGGGCTGCCTCTGGTGAGTAAAAGCACAGAGAATAAATACTGTTAGGGAAATTTAAGAAAGGGAAATATGTTAGCTATCTTTGTTACTTTCTTATTGCTGGGATAAAATACCCAACACCCATTTACAGAAGGCCAGGTTCATTGAACTCAGTTTGTAGAGGTTAAAGTCCGTAGTCAGGCTGGCTCCAAAGCAGGGCAGTGTGGCAGAGGAGGAAGCTTAAGCATGGCAGCCGGAAGCAGAGAGAGATCAAGGAGGGAGGAGGGAGGCTACCCCTTCCAGGCCACGCCCCAGGACCCACATCTCGCACCAGCCTTCCCCTTCCCGTGTCACACTTAGCTATAAGTTCATCTGTGGCCTAATCCACTGCTGAGCATCACACCCACACGATCCAGTCACCTCCCGGAAGCCCCACCTATGAATGCATGGTACTTGGGGACATCTAGATACAGACCATAATACTCTCTCCACTGAAGTGAGTTTTCTGCCAGGCAGTTGGTACGACTGGTAGGTTCTTCTTCCTCCTATTTTTTTTTTTTTTAATGCAAAGCAGGAAACAACTTTTTTCCCCCGTGCTACAGGTCTTACAGGATTAATAAACTATTCATCATTAGAGATTTAAGAACTGAGAACAAATGTAACGTCAGGACGTTGGCACGGTGACTCTTAGCTGCTCTTCTGTCACAGCTCTGGAAATCTGCAGCGGGGAATGGCATCCTGGGTGGCTTTGTGCCCCTCTCTCTGCCATGGTACTCTCCCGTGTCTCTGCTACTTGCCTGATTGCCTCAAGCTCTTGCAAAGGGGGTCTGGAGTGGGGTGGGAGATGTAACACAGTACAGATCTTACTTGGCGTCTGTGCTGAGTGCGCGGGTGCAAGCTGTGTGTAGCAGGATGTTCTCTTGTGGGTTTCCCAGAATGCCTCCCCCTGGGATGTTTCCCAGCACCTTACTGGCCCCGGCAGTATACTATCTGGCTAATTCCTCCTGCCTGTCTCCTCTGTCCTGTTCCTACTCTACCCTGAGACAATGCCTGTCTGTATCTGGCACTATTGATTGATTTGGGTTTTATAAATGGCACCACAGACTGCGTATTCTTTTTTGGAGTAAGGGAGGGTCTGTGCATTTCACCGAGTGTAGTTCTTTCCAGATTCGTGATGGTGTCCTTTCCCAAGATCCCTTAAGGCCAGCTACCTCCCAGGGGTGCACAAGGCCTATGGGAAAATCTACTCTTTTGAGACCTGTCATAGTGAGAGCACGTTCTGTTCTTCTGGCTGCACAGTGAAGCTGCCTCAGGCACCCAGGCAGGCTTTCTAAACACTTGACTGTCAGCTTCACTAGGCCTGAGGACAGAAAAGGTGCCTTGGTGACTGGGGGGACCCTCTGCAATTGCCTAGAGAGGTACCAGCCCGAGGTACCAGCCCCCACACCCCCAGTACAGCCTGCAGGGCCCTAGCTCTGAAGGCCAGTAGTTGGTGGCTTCCTAGGGTTGCACTTCCACTGGTTCTGCACAGATGGGCTGGAGCCTTCCTTTAGAGTACACGGGCACCCACCATCCTCTGTTCTTAGCTTCAGGCCGCGCGCGCGCGCGTGTGTGTGTGTGTGTGTGTGTGTGTGAGAGAGAGAGAGAGAGAGAGAGAGAGAGAGAGAGAGAGAGAGAGGAGAATATTTGAAGTTTATCCTCAGCAATTTAAAATGTACAATACACTGTTGTAAACTGAAATCACCATGCTGTGTAACAGATCTCCAAACAACAGCAAAATAGAGGTGTTCCGCCTCATTGATTCTT